GTTTTGTTTAGAGCATAATGTCTAGTCTTAAAAAGAGTATTGTGTGGAAGTTTTTTAAAAAATTGACAATAATTTTTCTGTGTGCAGTGTGTGTGGTGAGAAAATATCGTGCAAAGGAGGAAGTACATCTGCAATGCAGAATCACCTCAAATTGCGTCATCCTTCTAATCAGGTTGTTGCTGGAAGATCTGGTGCAGGTTCTTCAACAAGTGCTAGTAATACGTTAATAAGTAGGTATTTTAACACAACAACTGTCGTTATGAATAGTGCCAAAAAAGAGGAGTACCGCAACAAGTTGGCAATGATGTGCGTTATGGATCTACATCCTATCAATTTTGTCTTAGGAAGAGGATTCCGTGCAGTGGCACAATTTTTGTATTCAGGTTAGAGACATTTTTTTTTATTAATTAATTTTGATAAAAAAATTGCAAACATTTTGAATTGTCACTAACACTTGAAAATTAATGCAAATAAAATATCTGGCTATATTAATATGATAACTTCCATTACTTCCTTAACTTTATTACAGTATTTACATTTTATTTACAGGAGCTCCACCAATAGGATACACATCAATTGTCTCAAGAATATCTTTGCAATTTGAGGCAAGAAAGGCTGCCATTTTTGCAGAAGTTCAGACAATTATGGGACAACTAAACATATATCCTTGTCTCACAACAGATGGCTGGACATCGAATTCTAATGAAAGCTTCATAGCTATTTCAATTCATTTAATTGACAAGAAATGGAACCTTGTCAGTTATGTTATCAATTTGATTCACTCCCAGGAGCGTCACACGAGCGTCAACCTACAGGCAAGTTTGGAGGCTGCAATGGATGCCTGGCATATTCCGGAAGCTTTCGCAGTGGTGTCAGACAATGCTGCAAACATTGTGCTAGCACTAATTTCAAGCAAACGTGTACAGCATATGGTACGGTGTGTCGGGCATACAAGTCAATTGGCCATTAATGACAGCATCAATGCTATCCAGACAGTTAGAAATGCGCTGGCAGCCATCAGAAGAGTGGCACAGTTCTTCAGAAATTCGAATTCATCCTGGAATGTCCTCAAACAAATTCAGAAAGACGAAATCAAGAGAAATTCTAAAAACCGCGATACTACAGTATCTAGACTTCCAAAGCCTATCCGTCCTATCATGGACTGTGAAACCAGGTGGAGCAGCAAAATCCATATGGTGGAACGAATGGTGAGGCTACAACAGAACATCATTGCCGCGATGCAGGTAAGATAAATTGTTATAATTTACTATATCTATAAATAATTGATTGGTTAAATTGCAAATGCATGCTTGTGCGCTTTTATTTTTATAAATATCTTTTCTACAGGATCCTCAAGTGAAGAAAGACATGGCTAGATCAAAGTGTGCCGTCCCCAACGCTGACCATTGGGGCGTTGCACAAACAGTGGTGGAAGTTTTGAAACCCTTTGCTGACCAGGTTACTCGCTGGAGTGGTCAGCGGAATGTTTCGTACTCAGCGATTTATCTGGCAATTTTCGGATTGCTAGATTTTCTTCAGCCAGATGATGAGAACGACACGTGGGCTGCTGTACAGCTGAAAGAAAAGCTGCAAAGTGAAATAAAGCAACGGTTTGGTTTGGTTAGCGGTATTAACAATGATTTTCCTTGCTATTTAGGCATGGTTGGTGCCCTTTTGGACCCTCGATTCAAAACCCTCCCATTTCTGACCACCGAAGAAAAAACAAGTGTGATAACATATGCAGAAGAACTACACGCCATCTTGCAGCAACAACCTGTCATGGGCCCTGCTGCAACGGCTTCTGCATCCTCGAAATGCAAAGTCTTTGATAGTTTTCATACAAACAAATAAAAAGTTGATTTACTCTTGCGTATTTACAAGCCAGTAACAAATGCAAGCTCAGTTCCAACAACTTTCAGACAGGAAATGCAAATTTACTTATCAGAAGATCCTGAACCGCTCACGGGAGATCCACTAACGTGGTGGAAGTTGCATAGCTCTAGATTCAACCTTCTTTCTCGTTTGGCTGCACAGCTTTTCTGCATCACAGCAACCAGCTGTCCATGTGAGCGAATATTTTCAACTGCCGGAAATGTTATTACAAAGAAAAGAAATCAATTAACGCCAGAACATGCAGAAATGCTGGTTTTTCTGTATGAAAATTCAGAGTTGCGTGGAAACTTGGTTGATAATAATGAAGAAGATGATGATGATGATGAAATTCAAATCAGCAGCGATGATTAATGATAATGCAGATAATTAAACTATACTTGTACATTATTACTACCTTTTTTAATTATATAATTAAAAAAGTACATTATATTATAATATAAAATTTATATATATATATATATATATATATATATATATATATATATATATATATATCTTTTTCCATGTTTTGTTGTAAATATATGATATAGGACTGTATTCACTAACTGTCTTAAAAATGTATAGTTTAACATTAGTTTTTTAAAAATTAATTTGAAATGCTACGTTCGTTAAAATTTAGAAGATCCTTTATTCAGAAGGCATCACTAATTTACTGAATAGTCGGTTAGCCGCAAATTGATGGAAACTGTTATCCGGTTTTCGAAACGGATAACCGGCGAAATCACTAGCCCCGGCCAAGCAAAATAATAAGATTGAGCAGGGGTTGATGGCCAAGGCTAGAAAAAAATTTATAATTTTTTAAGACTTGAAAAATTGTAACTTTAAAGACTTAAAAAGCTAGATAAAAGAAATCATGAAAATGGGTAAGAGTTATACGGTTTTTTTGATCTGCAAGATTAATACTAGTATTTATAGCATAAAGGGACATATGCAGTGAAAGGATGCAACTTGTTGAATAAGAATCTAAGCAAGAATAAGTTTTGGTTTATCGATATAGAGATAATAGCTTGTTTGAGCATTGACCATAATAGTATTTGTAGAAAAAAGGAAGAAATGCAATCTTACAACGATGGAAGAGTGGCTCAAAATCTTTTAGACTTTGTCTGGGAGTAAGAGGGTTGTTATTTGTCAATATAAGAATGTCAACAATATTGCAATATTTTTTTGCAGTAAATAAATGAGTTTTGTTGTCTAACAAAACTTGTGGATTTTAATTCCAGAATTTAAATACCCACGTCACTGCAAGCCTTAGGCTGTTACAGAAGAGAGATCAGATTATAAACTGGCTGGCTTGTTCTAAGCATTCAAAAAGTGAAGATTTTTTGTCAAAACAAGAGTATAAAGTTGAGTTGACTGCAAATAGTGCTACTTTAGATGTAAAATTTAAATGAAGATTGTTATTGTAGATAAGAAACAATACAGGAGCAAAGATAAAACCTTGTGGTACTCTTAAAGTTACTTGAAATAAAAAAGAGCGTAGGCCTTCAAGAATAACTTTAATACTGCATTTAGAAAGATTAAAAATTTCTAAAATTTAATGAAGTATCTCAAAAACTTTGTATAAAGAAAATAATAAAAGATGGAGGACTAATCGAAAATAATAAAAGATGGAGGACTAATCGAAAATAATAAAAGATGGAGGACTAATCGAAGGATAGTTAGAGAGGTCAAAGTGTTTTCTAGAGTTTTGAAAAATTGCAACCATTTATTTAGCACTTTTCAAAAGTTGAGTAAAATTTGAAAAGAGTTTTGGAGAATATTTTTTAAGACTATGATGGAAATTTTGTCTGAAGCACAAACTGTAGTTTGTATTTAATTGAGAGTTAACTTTAGCATTGGAAGCCAGAGTGATTTGGATGTTTAACAATGGGTTAATCTGTTTAACTGATATGGCAGGAAGAATATAGCCATTAGATTCAAGAGTCAAGTTAGATAAAAAGTTCTTTCCAAATAACTCTGTTCTATTCTACACTGTTGAAGACTTACCAAAAGTCTCTAGAACCTAGCATCTGATCCTTATTAGGGCTTACTAAGCCTTAATAAGGATTATTTCTTATTCACATCCTTATTAAGCCTTAAATTAAGGATGTGAATAAGAAATAATTTAAGGGTTTGAATAAGAAATAATCCCTAATAAGGATTATTAAATGGTATAAAAATCTTGTTTATTCATCAATGATGGAAAGAACAAAGATTTGTATACCATTTCAAGCAATTATATATTATTTTCATAAAACAAACCGTCCTATTTAGCTACTATTTAAGTTTCTAATTAAGTAAAAAAAAAACAAAAAAAACATAAAATTTCATCAAGCTAACGCAAAAATTTATTTATAATTTAGTAAGTAAACGCAAAACCCAAAACAAAAAACGTCATAAAATACGCAAAAAATATATAATATTTGTTCAATGAACATATTGAAGACCATGTTCTAAAGGACATACAGGTCCAATAAATGGGCACAGACAATGTCTGTGTCCATTTATTAGACCAGTATGTCCTTTAGAACATGTAATTTTTAAACTTGTTCTAATAAATCTTTATTTATCTATGTGTAAATATCTTATGTTTTACAAATGTAAATATCTTATGTGTTACCTATGTAAATATCTTATGGGTTACATATGTCAACATCTAATGTTTGTAAATATCTTATGTGTTACATAAGGTATTTACATACACGGCAATTGATTTGCACAATAAATTAAGGTACAGCAAACATAACGTACTGATTTTTTTGGATTTGCGTTTCTGCTCTTTGCTTTAATTTTTATTCATATATTTTATATATAAAGCAGTTAAATTGTTACAAAAGTTGTTTTTTTGTTTCTGTTGTTTATATTAAAAGGAAAGAAAAAGGAGATTTATTAAAGAAACAGTTGTCTTTAAATGAGATTGTAGAGACTTATTCAAAAAAAAAAAAATGTTTTTAATGAATTTTTAAAATTGGCTTTTATGCAAATTTATCTTTACATAATTGGTGTTGGGATTGTTAGGTGGTTGTGTTGGGTTTGCTAGTGATTCAGGTTTCCAATAACTATTTATTTTTTTGTAGACTTTTATTTTATGTATATACATTTTTGGAGTTAATTTATCATTTTTTAAGAAACGAGAAAAAAACCGATCCATGCAACGAATTGATAATGGAGAAATTACCTTCTTACTTGATTTCAAAACAGCTGAAGCTTTTATTCCTGAAATTCCAAAAGTTACAATTAAAGTAAGACGTACTACAAATGAGTATTCTAAGGAAGTTCAAATTGTAAAAGTAAAATATGAAGTAGTGCAAGCAACAAAGGTAAATTTAAATATCAGCAAAATATATGTAGCAATTTATCTATTTTTAATATCTTCCTATCATAATTTATTTATATCCATAATACCATAATTTTTTAATACTTTTATAATTTTTTAATACTTTAATAATTTTTTAATATTTTAACAAAGTTTTTCGATTCTGGTATTGCCCGGCATTAGTATGCACAGTGAGCCATAAAGGCTGTCAGGTTCGAAATCTCACCACCTCAGATTTTTTTTTTTTTTTTAAGTAACCTAAGTTTGTATAAGTGGTTTTCAAGTGCAAACCAAATCTGAACGCGATCAGAAGAGTTAGTAATTTAAGTTTAAAAAAAGTAAAAAGGACTAAATATTTAGCAATTAAAATGATGTTATCCACCATTTTCGGCTTCTTTTTTAAAAATAATTTTCAACTGATAAGAAAAATAATTGGAGGAAAACCCACAGAGCGGTAAAAATGGCGGATTTGAAGCCATTTGTTTGGAAAAAAAAGGTGAATATTCAAAATTGTTATCAAAAGTACAACCATCTATAGAAAATAAAATCAAAGAGTATATTTGGTACAATGAAGGTTTCATTGTTTGCCCTGACGTAATATGTTCAAATTGTAGAAAAAACATATTTTTTTTGGAGAAGGGATCAATTACTTATCTGTCAAACTGTATGAGTAAAGTATCTCAAGTACAGAGTTTATTAAATTTAAATGATTAATACATAAATAAATAAAGAATAGTTTTTTATAAAGTTTATGTTTCGGAATTAGGTTGACAGGACAAGAATTAGGTGCAGAACTGAACTTAGTGATATTGTTCAACCATCTTGTGTAAAACACTAGCTGTAGAATCACCAAAGGAAAATATATGCAGTTGCTGCTTTTCTCTCCTTGCAAGAGGTTTACAAATAAATATTAAATTATTTGATAAGTAAATAAAAAGTTGTCAAATATTTATGTATACATACATATTTAATTATAATTTGTAAATTGTAAACAATATGTAAATTGTAAACAATATATTATACATAATTAGTTTTTTTTAGTTATAATTTATATATATATAATTTATATATATAATTTATATATATATAATTTATATATATAATTATATATATATATAATTTATAACTTAAATAAAAAAAAACCTTATTTTTAGGCTTAATAAGTTTATATAAATTTTATATTTAATTTTATTCTTCATAGCAGTTATAGTTCTGGTCAGGCTGTTTTAAACCTAATTAATTTGTCAGAAAACCTTTATTCCACATCATGTGACCAAGTTGCTTTAGGCATAATTAAAAACAAGATGAAGTGAGAAAGCATAGAGAGAGGCCAATACTTTAAAATAATAGCTAAGTTTTTTATTTTCATTATAAAATTGTTGATAAAAGATTTTAATGTTCATATAGTCTATAATATATATTATATATTATAAAACTTAAAGGCATAAAAAAATAGATATGAGGCATATAATTTAACAATTATTTTGATTGCTAACTTTTTTGAAATATTTGTATTTCAACTTTATTTATGATATATTAATAAGGATGTGAATAAGAAATAATCCTTATTAAGGCTTAATAAGGCTTACTAAGCCTTAATAAGGATTATTTCTTATTCACATCCTTATTAAGCCTTAAATGAAGGATGTGAATAAGAAATAATTAAAATAAGTTTTATGATATATTATATTTATTTATACTTTATTTTTAAGGTGGGAATCCATTAACTTTAACCGTTGAAACTAAAGATAAATCTTTCAGAAAGTCTTTTAATCAGATATCATTCCAAACAGTTATGGAGTTAACTCTATACTGGAATTTACAAAAAATCAAACATCAAAAAATGATATCAAGTCTGCGTAAGAATCTAGGGTCGTCTACTGTTGTTGAGAACAATGTAGTTAGCATGATGACATCATTGCAACAAGAAATTGAGTCTAAATATAAAATAGAACAAGATGATTTTATTTGGAATGATGAAACTGTAATTAGATCTCAAACTAATTTGATACCTATTGTTCATTGCCTCAGAAAGTTTTTGAAAGTTAAAGAGTGCACAATTGGACAAGAATTAGGCAGTAATGTTTCTTCAGAGTTCAAAGTTTTGACCTACAGCAGTTTGCAAAAATACATTTAAATGCAGAGCTGAATGTTACTTGGAAAGTACGTCTTGTAGTTTGTCATATTTTTCCATTTGTGAAATTTAATTCTTGTTCTCTTGGATCATATGCTGAACAGACTGGAGAGGCTGTTCACAGCGCCTTTAAACCAAGTTGGTCTCGAAATAAACGAAGGATTGGGCATATAGATTATGGTAAACGAATAATATCTGTAAAATCTCTAAAAACAAATAAAACACTACCACTTTTTGCATAAAAAAGGTGTAAATATTTCAATATATAAGTAATTGTGTTAATATTTTTATTGCATTTATTGTTTTTTCCTTGTTATTTTTCCTTTTTTTTCTTCCAAAAAAATTAAATTTTTTTGGTACTTCTGACCTACTTTAAAATAACATATTTAAGCAGTATCTATCTTAATATAAAAAAAAAAGTTAGAGGTGGGGAGAAGTTCAACCTGGTGGTCTTAGTGTATAAAGTATCAAAAAAATTAGAAAATACAATCAAGAGTACACAAATTAGCAGCAATGAAAAAAATTAATTGAGTACTTAAACTGTTAATTTGATTTTAGGCGGTACTTTGAAAAAACTCTTTTTTGTTCTTCATTTTGGATTTATTTACATATCTTTTGATTTTTAACACTTTCAATGATTTTTAACCAGTGAAAGAGATTTTCAACCTTTTTTTTTAGAGGACCAACAAAGTTCAAACTTATTAGACATTCAATTTTTTTGAATTCTTTATTTAGAATTATAAAATAAATTGTTTGTTTCTCCTGTAGTTGTACAATGTTTTATTTTCATATCACTAGATCTTGTATCTTATCTCAGAAGTTAGGCTCTAGAAACTTTTAGAAAATCTTCAACAGCGCTGCTAACAAGAGTAGGTCTAACATTCCACCTCTCATTCATGGGACTGATCTTATTACCTATCCCAAGGATAATGCAGAACTATTTGCAAAGAACTTTTCTTCTAATTCTAATCTTGAATCTCATGGTTATTCTCTTCTTTCCGTTCCAGTTAAACAGGTTAACCTATTGTTAGACATTCAAATCACTCTAGCTTCCGTTTCTTAAGTCATATCCTAATTAAACTCTTCTACAGCTTATGGTCCAGACAACATTCCTGTCATAGTCTTACAAAAGTGTTCTCTAGAACTCTCTTCAATTCTCTCTAAATTATTTAATAAATGCTTGACTTAATAAAGTCCTATTTTCATGCATGCTGGACAATTGCATCTCTGGTTCAAATTTTCAAAAACTTTGGTGAACATTCTGACCTCTCCGATTATTGTTGGATCAGTCTTCTTTCTGTTATTAGCAAGATGTTTGATCAACAAATTTCTCTTATCTCATTTTGAGTCAAATAACTTACTGTCAGGCAATCAATACGGTTTTTGGTCTTCTTCCTCTACGCTGACTGCTAGCTGCTGTGGCTGAAAAGTTTTATTGAGCATAAAATGGTGGAGAGGCTAGGGCTATTGTTTTTGATATATCTAAGTTGTAGTGGCTTGTAAATTTTAACTCCAACAAAACTCAGTTATTTACTGCAAACAACTATTGCAGTACTGTCTACATTCCTATATTAATGAATGGCAGCCCTCTCACTGAGTCCTCTTCTTTATGTCTTCTTGGTATATATATCATAATATATATATTTTAAAAGTGCCTTAACTACACCGAGAAGCAGCACTTTCCGTTTGTGGTTTTGAAAAAAGAGACGGTTTTGTGAGAGCACGAATGAATAACAGAAAAACTTTGCCCGAGCTTAAATCAAAAAAAAATTTTAGTAACCTTTTTATAACAAAATTATAAACAAAAACATTTTTATGACAATTTTATAACTTAAATTTATTTTATTTTAAATGTTGTTAAGTTGAACTATAAAAACATCATTCCAACAAATAAAGTCTGAAAATTTATTATGAAAAAGATTCCAATTTTTACATTTTTTTTCAATATTATAAGGCATTTTTCCCCGCGAAAATTTATTTTTTTTAGAAAAAAAAATTATTCACGTTTCACAGCATATGGTAATATATATAAAAAAAATCTAAATAGTTTCTTATTTCAATAATTTTAAAATTTTGAACCCCCTTGCATTTATGCATAAATGAACAATTTTACCTTTTTGAAAATTGCAATCCCGCCTAGGTAAGAATTATTTTTTTTTAATTTTTTTTTGGAAGTTCATTTTTACATATAGTGGCACCATTAAAATCATCCGCCAAATTCGTGTATGTATGTATGTATATATGTATGTATGTATGTATGTATGTATGTATGTATGTATGTATGTATGTATGTATGTATGTATGTATGTATGTATGTATGTATGTATGTATGTATGTATGTATGTATGTATGTATGTATGTATGTATGTATGTATGTGTACACATGTGTGTATGTGTACACAACTATGTGTGTATGTGTATATTTTGTATATGTGTGTGTGTATTAATGTATGGGTATGTGTATATGTATGCATGTATATGTGTATGTATATGTATGTATGTATGTATGTATGTATGTATGTATGTATATATATATATATATATATATATATATATATATATATATATATATATATGTATATATATATATATATATATATGTATATATATATGTATTAGTGATCACTTTTTTGGCTGATGCCGTTACCGATGCCGATGAATGGGAAAAGGCCGACACC